CGCGCTAATATGTTAAATTGTTATACAGCGTAACAGTTGGTTTCTTCTAGTTTCTTTTGTTTACTGAAGTCGTTAAACATATTATTATGAGTTATGTCTAGTAAACATTAGAATCGCTAGTTATAAAGGTAGTTATTAATACAATTATTATAATGATTGACGGTAGTAAAATAATTAGCAATCGTGAAATCGGAGTGATTAGTTGCTGACAAGATAATATGCGTAATGTTTGTGCAGGCGTATACGCCAGTATACGGGAAAATAATTAAAATTACAATAAGGTGAAATAATTATTTTTCAAATGTCACGTTTAGCCTAGTTTTGATGGCAAAACTCGTTACCTTGAAATAAGAAGAAAAAACATTAAAATCGACGTATTATGTTAGTCGTCTCGACCTTGGACCTCAGTCAATAAAACGTTAACATACACACACACACTGACACTCACCAATGTGTATATTGACGCTTTCACGACGTTCACGCGTCGTTACCACACTTACCACTGTTGACACGGGTTAATATTGTTGAATGTTTCATATTTATCCGCCACTGATACACAGTGCCAGAGATAGATAAAGTCTTAAGAGTTACCACGTGTAACAATATATACATGTATAATATTACAATTTACAAGTATACAATTTATTCACCCGAAACATAAAATAATATATTATACAGGTATAATATTATCCATACGGCCTTGTTAACGAGATGAAAATTCTAAAAAACTTTTAAGTCGCCGCGAGACGATTTATACCGTTTTACCCCCTGTTTAAACGGGAAATACCCCGCACGCATCGAGTGGCGCTCCTCGAACTTCTCCTACCCCGTGCAATATCCTAACCCCCTGCCCATATTAGGAAGACCATAGTGCTCTGTTGTCGTCGCAGTCGTCGTCTGTCGTCGAGAGCTGAATCAACACTCGTTCGGAATTAGCGGAAAAAAACATATCGGGATTTATATACATATAATTATTATTATTATTCTGCTTTCCGAACGCAAATAATAATATTATAAATGTTATGTTGTCAGTTGTGCATCGCACCGCGAATGAAAAAACAAAAAGGAGCAGCGCAGTAGTGCACTTGAGAAGCATTAAAAAACCCAACCCCCAACCTCCCGAACCACCGAATTCGATGCCGCTCGCAATTGTCCCACCGAATGTCGTGCAGCCCGCCGCCGTCGCATTAAATCTCTCGGTGTGCACAAGACGTCGAGTTTCGGCGAGAGAGCACTACAAAAACAATACACGCATATATTTTACTATTGTATAGAATACGTCGACGTTCGTGTGTTTATAATATAGCATTTTGTAAAAGTATATGACTACACGAAATCGTTGGAAATCCGACGGAACGAATTTCGAGGACGCAGGGGGATAGTAAACGAGCCAATACCCAAGTGAGTCAATACCGAACTCTGTTTTGACGTTTGACTTGAGGAATCAAGATTGTCGTCATGGCTTCCCAAAAGTACCCATGTATGACTGTATGAGTTTTCGTCGACTTATACTTTTTATACGTTCACAACATATTATGATATTTTTTAACGAGGGAGTATAATACTATATATATCAAGTTAGTTGATTAGTCGATTGCCGTAAAAACGAGATGTTCGTTTATTCAAAATACTTGTGGAAAAACAGAAAGAAAAATCAAGGTAGAATTAAAAATAATAACGTCAAATCATTTAAAATCTTTATTGACATAGGGCCAACCGACGGCCTTGTAGATTAAAAAATTTACATAATTTTGTTATTTCTAAATGAAAATAACCCGAATGGAGTTACTTATTTCAAAATCGTCCTCACATGCATCAAAAATAAAAAAACAGGAATTACTATTTTAATGCGATAAAACAACGTTTTTACTTTAAGTCACACTTTCTAATATCGATTTTGTCAGTTTTATAATATTATCCTCAGTATAATCAATAATACTTCAAACATAATTTCTACCAAATTTATAAGTGTTAAATGAATAAAGAGTTAATCTGACTTCAGACATAATATCATATAAATATTATTAAATTTAACCTTTGCTCTAGTACTAAATACTGATGCCTAATAATAAAATAAATGACGTTAATCATAATAAATAATAATATCTTAAATATTCCTGGCAGTAATATTATAGATCGTCTTCGCTCAGATTTGTTTTTTTTGTACAATAATTGCATATCATTGATTTAAAATTTAACACGTCTATTACAGTGACTCTCCGGACACCTAATTTCGTGCAGAGCTTTATTACTATACTCACTGTTATACTGGTGTATGGATTTTTGGATTTTTTTTTTTATTGCAAAATCTGTTCAAACTTGTGAAACAACAAGTGAATGCGGAGTATGAGAAAAAAATATTTGTAAAAATACATGGTTCAGAGAGTGAGGTAACCTCAAATTAGGTATTTGTATACACGCACATTTTAAAATTATATAAATGTTTGATAATTATAATAATGTATTCAGCTACTCATTTCTGAAGCTCAACCGATTCACATTTGAGTCGTGACTCACTGGTTGATGACCAGGACTAGAGTACCTATAAACAAATTATTTGTATAGGTCGTCTTGAGCACGAACACAGGTCATACAGGTAAGTTTCGGACATTTATCGTTGTGTTTCGTTATTCAAAAAAGGAAAGAGAAGAAATTGAGCAATGAGTACTACACCGAAAACGTCATGGCAAGTCCGTCGTACG